CAGTGCTAATTTCTTAATCTGGCAAGAACAAAAAAACGTACATACACGTATGCAGGAGAAAAAAACGCTTTTAATGGGTTTGTCAATGGCAATATAACACTAATTAAATTCGTTGAACTGACATTATCCCCACCTTTCAAAGCTGCTTTTTCATAAAAAATATCAGTCTTTAAAAACTCTGTTAACTCTAGCTAGCTAGCTAGCTAGCTCTAACTTTTAATGTGGTCATTAATAATGTTATGTCTGAAGTGGCTGCTCTGTCCTGTGGAGTTCCACAGGGGTCGGTCTGGGGTCCTCTCTTGTTATTATTATATATTTTTCCTCTGGGTCAGATTATCCGGCGTTTTAAGAATGCGTCATATCAGTTTTATGCAGATGATCTTCAAATTTACTGTTCTTTTAATGATTCAGAGTTTCACTTTTTAGCAATATTATTAGAGTGTGTGTCTTCCATGAAGAACTGGCTAAATAATAATTATCTTCACATAAACTCCGATAAGACTGAAACTGTTATTGTTGCACCTGTTAACAAGTTCGCAGTAATTAAACAACACCTTGTTTGCTGGGCTCCTCCGTCCAGTTGAGCCTGAGAAACCTTGGTGTTGTGTTGGACCAGGCTATGTCTCTTGATTGTTATATAAGACAATTAGTCAGGAACTGCTTTTATCATTTGAGAGATATTTCTAAATTAAGGAATATTTTATCAAAGGCGGATCTTGAAATGATTGTTCATGCTTTTATTTCTTCGCGTATTGATTATTGTAACTCTCTTTTTACTTGTTGTAATAAGTCTACTTTAAACCAACTTCAGATTTCCCAGAATGCTGCTGCGAGGCTCCTCAAAGAAACCTCTAGATTGGCTCATATCACTCCGCTTTTGTACTCACTTCACTGGCTACCAGTCAAGGTCAGAGTTGATTTTAAAATTTTAGTGCTGACATTTAGAGCACTACATGGGCAGGTCCCCCAGTATATTACTGATTTGTTGGTTTCATATTCTCCCAAACATACCCTTCGTTCCTCAAATCAGCCCCTTTTGTTGGTCCCAAAAACTCGTTTTAAATCTCGGGGGGACCTGTCTTTTAAGGCGGTTGCCCCAAGGTTGTGGAATGCTCTGCCCTTGTCTTTACGTATGGCCGAATCTGTTGAGGGTTTTAAAAAGCAGCTGAAGACACATTTATTTAGACAGTTTTTTAATTGATTGGGTTTACAGATTTTTATGAACTGTTTTTATTCTGTTATTTGAATTGCTTTTAGGTTTTATGTATATTGTGTTTATTATTATTATTACTATTCTGTGATGTTGTGAAGCACTTTGTGATTCTGTCTGTGAAAAGTGCTATATAAATAAAGTTTACTTACTTACTTACTTAATGCTGAATCATCAAACATGCAGTGAGCCCATCAAAATACACCACCATATTATAATTAAATACAACCACGTACTTTCAAGTTATAATGAGATAAAACTTACCCAGTTTAATCTTTACAAACGTTTTCACATCATTCACACAAAGCCTAGTTACACCCATCACATAATTCAGACATTGTTCTACTGCATACTATTTCGCCACCAGATGGCACTAAACTGAACCTTTGAATGAATGAACCAATGCTCGATACAATGGTGAACACGATGAAGTGGTTTGATATAGGAGTCATGGTGTCAATTGGACATCACTAGTGGCAGGAACCAGGAGGACCAGGGTGAACAGATGAGTAAACAGGAGAAGGCAGGGAAACTCGCCACAGGAGTGGCTGCACCAACATGACAAAGGAATCAATAGCACAGAAAACTGTCAGCGCTGAAATGTAATGTAACCTAGAATCACACACATTTAATCTGCCAGAGATTTAAATAAGGAAGGGAGGTAATCAATGGAATGCGCATTTATTATGCATTATGTGTGTTCTCTGACCAGTGTTTTAGTTGAGTCACTAAACTTCAAGTCCGAGTCAAGTCTTGAGTCCTCAGTGTTCGAGTTCAAGAATAATCTGTCGAATCTGAGTTGAGTCCGTTACCCGAGTCAGTCATCAAAGTCTACATTTGACACAACTCTCACCATTTTATTTTCCAAACCTTCTAACAGTGTATTGTATCACCACATTGCTTGGCAATTTGATACATAAAAATCATTTATAGTGTATGTTTTGATGGAAGTGTGCCAGCTACAGCATTTTGCAAGTGAATAGGTTTTAATATCAATATCTTAGGCCAAATTATTATAGCTTATTGCAAAAAAAAAAAGTCAGTCCTCATCTCCAACTTCCGAGTCCAAATGTAGTCAATGCTCAAGTCCAAGTCAAGTCCCCAGTCCTCAAAACCTGAACTTGAGTTGAACTTGAATTTGAGTTCTGGACTTTAAGTACCATCTAATAAACAATTTAAACCATTTTTCTCTCAACTTCACTGCTTCTTGCTGCTCTCCATCTTTGTATCACCGGGTAGTTTGGCATATTGCTAACAGGTCTGCAAACAAGTCACGTCTCTTTGTTGACACTTAGTGACTGAAACCTCTTGCAGCTAATGAACCATTTCAGCACTGTCTCCCAGCTTTCTTGAAACATACACAACAACAATAATAATCATCATCTTCCTGTCTCACACATTCCCTTGCTGTTTGCTGTTCATGCATTTGCCTGTCCTTGTTGTGAGCATCGACACACACACACACACACACGCACATCAAGGAGATGCAGTTTGAACTCTAAATACTTATTAAAGCTTGTGCTTTAATTGAATTGTTTTGACATTTGGTGTTATTGCATAAGCATACTGTTCTGAGACAACCTTCATGTAGGATTTCATCTTGAATCACAGGCTGTTTTTGTTTATGTGTGTGGGGGTGTCTGCTTGTGTTCTTTACACATAGGTGTTGCTGTTGGCAAATACAGTAAAACTGTACTTGTCTGGTTTGCAGTTTGTGGCTGTAATAAAACTTGAAATATGCCCTTATGAAAAATGCCCTCATAAAATCTTTTTCAGAGCTCACTAATACCAAGAATATCTATAATGTTAGAAACAGGGTTTTGATTTATTTTGAGCTTTAAATAGAAATCAAACCATGCAGTGGCTGTATATAATTTTTCAGGTATTTCAGGTTGTGAATTTTGCCTTTATTTCATTTTAGGCCTAGCAGTGGCTCTCCAGCTCCTCCACGGAGACATGGAACAGCTGAGACGGGAGTACATGGTACTTTTCACCCGGGGGGTGTCGATCACCAGGAAGCTGGGCTTCTCTGATGTCATCATGCCTGGTAGGACACCACAAACACAACAAACAAGAATAGATGCACAAGAAATAAAGTTGATTGTTAGCTGTTACATCCTCCATTGTGTTGAAGAATTTCACCTGTCTTGTTGGGTTGAGATTATTTTATGTCTTTCCTATTGCTAAACAGAAAGTTTTTCTATAGGTCTAATGTGGGAAGAGTACATTACTCCTAAACACCACTAACCTGAATACAAGGGCCTAATATAATAAATTACCTTCTACAGGGCTTAATTGAAGTATTTGGACATTTTTAATTCAAGATCAAACCCACACTTGACTTATGCTTATGACTCCCAGCTGAATAAAATGTATAGACCCAATGAGGTGGGAACTTTATCTTCCTGAAATACAGTTTCTTTCTGAAAATCAGCACATGTTGCATGGTGATCTGATGCACTCCTCACTGTGATCAAATTGTGCAACCGATAAAACCCTCCCGATTTTAACAGTCCTGCTTTTCTGCCTGTCTGATAACATATAATTTGCTCTGTTTCACATGAATTTTAAATATAATAAACTGGTTAATCACAATATTGTGTAATATAAATCAGTCCGAGTAGCAAAACATTAGTTTCTTAGTGAAATGTCAGCTCATAAAATTATAAGAATATATTTTAGCTGACACCTTTGGAGGCTATAAACTTAATAACGTCTTTCATTGAGATGCACCGATTGATCGGCGGAGATCAGAAATGACTGGTTTTCAGTGCAGTTGGCCATGATCAGTGACTGGCCGATCACTCTGGCCGATTTAGGTGCACACATGCAGTGGCACAGACCAAAAGCATAGCATGTGCAGCACCTATCATTTCGCATACACCTCGAGTGAGGCTTGTGCTCTTTGTACCAGATGTGTCTTCACTCGCACATTGGAAGTGCTTGGTGAACAAACAGCACGCAGAGGAGCCTACAGAAACACTTTGGAGAAGGGGAAACTATGTCCAATTCTGCGACAAATACTACGCAATGAGGGAGTTACTATCCAGGTTGTTTCAGGTAGACAGGCATCACTTAGATAACATCTTCTCTAAATGAGACCCCCAGACTTAGATGTAATGGGTCTTTTGCCTTCTGGACAAATGTACATCTGTTTGAATGTAAGTTAAATTAAAGGGCTAAAAATGTATGTGTTTATAATTACCTATACATGGGAAAGTGCTGTCTGGTTTTGTTTTCTCACTTTTTCTGGTCATTTTTCTGGGAGCTGGACAACAGGGGACCTTTTATCCACAGAAGAGTTGTTTTTTTAAATAAGTGAGGTGTCCTGTCTGGTCACACAGATAACGAAGAACCACAGACAGTAGATCCCCCTGCGTCTCACTAAGGCAGATTTATGTTGACTGTATCTTTCTTTGTCTGACTACAAACCCTGAACACTGAGTGCTCTCACCCTTTGTGTCTGTGTAAGGTTGCCCTTTGGAAAGAAATTCTCTCTCCCTCTCTTTTTTTCTTGAATTGTATTTGACTGTATCGTTCTCATTGTCCTGCTCACATGCAAATACATCGTTTTCTTCATCCAGCTGCTCCACTCCCACCCTCTCCACCTTCTCCTCTAGTGTGTCCACCTTGCTGCGGTCATTGTGTTTGTGTGCTGTTGAGTGTACAGTATGAGTGTATATAGAAAGCCTCATGTTGCTATGGTGACTGTTGTTAAGAGCAGAAAATCAGTATTGATCCCGGAGATACAGATATGAGGATGAGCACACATACACTATCACTTACCAAGGTTATACAGGGAACCTACAGATGGATGATAAATTAAAGCAGCTTTAACTAACTTCTCCCTCTAATTTTAAGGGCAAAGTGAGAGTCAAAGCAAACTCCAGCAGTATCCGATCCTCTTCTCCCTCCACTCCTCTTTGCCATTGCTGCCCTGTCTCTGAAACTAGGTCATATGTGGTCGGTTGTGTAAGTCAGGTAGCGCAGCAGTAATAACAGGGGAATGTTTTTCCCCCAGTAATACTGATACAGTACTAATGTTCTATTGCATCATGTTCAGTGTTGCATACATACTTGACACACAATAACCACGAGTTGTATGTGAAACAAGAAATTTCATGTTATTCTTTGACATTTGAACAAGCTCCCCACTTGTGTTGATGCTGTAAATATTAACTTCTCACAAAAATGCTACATTGACTGCTGCGTTATGTATGGTATAAAATGGACCAAAACCAAGCAAAAATTATTTTATTTGCTAATCCAAGAAAATGTACTGGTTTCTGCTAATTGGACAACAAAACACTAACAATTCAGTCATATGGAAATTAATCCTAATTACAACCAGAATCAATGTGTTACTGGAGCATTTATAGATCAGATATTTTTATGAATCTCCAGTTGACTTTACAAGGTTATTAAAAATTCATGTGCAGGAAACGTTTTTCCTTTATCACATAAAATACGAGGAAAAAATGCAAGGAGAGAAGACTCAAGGAAACACATTAACAGCATGCAACATCTTTTCATCTGAAGCATCCAATCACCATCTGATTTTTGACAGTTTCTTTTCATAAAAACTTCGGTGAAGAATGGTCTTGTGTATCACTTGTGGCTCCTCCAGCAGCCTCCTCACTCCTCAGAGACAATATAAGAGACTTGGAACATCCTTGATCTTTGGTTGACTGGAACAACTTCTGGTTCGAGCGAGTACTGGGAAAACAGTCATAGAAACACCAATTATGTACCTGTGCAAGGGTTTTGCATGTAAATGTATCACTGTGGAAATCTGATAAATAAAATAATAAATAAAATCTGATAAGTAAAATAATAAATACAAAGAAAAATCAAGTTGCTTTTTAGTAATATAAAAACAAGGGTTTGGATAAGGAAGAAGAATGCATTGGAATCAAAAAGATATCTCTGATTCTGCTTTGTTGCCAGCCAGCTAAATTGATGAAGTACTTATAGATCAGGATTAGATTTCACATCAGCACAAAAAATACAGTATCGTTGAATGCCATCAATGTGAATGCTGCCCACTCTTCTTGTGACTAACGACACCAAAAATTGTTATCAAGCTGCTGAGACATTTCTTGTGTACATAGTCAATGCCTTGTTGCCTCTTTTACCTTCCTGTTCCCGCAGGAGAGATGAGGAATGACCTTTATATCACATTGGAGAAAGGAGAGTTTGATAAAGGCGGGAAAAGCGTAGCCAGGAATGTAGAGATCACCATCTTTCTGCTGGATATTGATGGACAAATCCTCAAGGTACAAACACACTTTGATTTAGCAACTGTGTGTTACATTTGTAATGTTTCCATTTTGCAAGAACCATAACTCTCATTGTGCAAGTATCATTTTTAAGGACTGGACACTATATTTAAGGCTAGGAACCACTGTACCAGTTCACGCTTAAGTCTTATTTTGCAGAGAAACTCATCATTTAAATATTGCTAACCCACATGAGAGCTAAGTGGCTTTCCATAGCCTGTTTATGGTGCAGCGCTGTGACAGTTTGCCTCTGTGGTTTCCTGCCCTGCCTTGGCCCTGGACAGAAAATAGATTCAAATATAACCCTGCTGTCAGTGCCTCTCCCACCACATGGCATGCAACCTTCGAACACACATAAATATGTACCTCGTGGTATTCTCACTTTATTGGCATTTATGGCATTGGTACAGTTTTCAATACATTTGTAACTATTCATGTTTGACATATTAGTTCATTGTGTCTTTCAAATCTGCCATTATTGTCACCATGACCTTTCATTTCTCCTCTCTTTACTTTCTGTTCTTTCTAAACGTCATTCTTCTTGTGTGCCTCTGTTTGCTTCCTTTTTTCTGTCTTTCAGAATCATGTCGCTGCTGGCTCGGGCGAACCAGGTGGGGATGAGTATCACTCATTGGTTCTGTACCACAACAACAGCCCTCGCTGGGCAGAGCAGCTCAAGCTTCCTATCCCAGTTGACATGTTTCGGGGGTCGCATGTCCGGTTTGAGTTCCGACACTGCTCCAGTAAGTGGGAATGGGGATGTGCATTTCCAGGCTTTCACACAGTCTCACACATTAGCTGCCTGGTATGTGAATGCCTGAGGCACTGCTTTATTTCCTGTTGATTATCCTGGGGAGTTGAGGGTAAAGAGGTGTTGTTGTGGAGGTACAAGAGCATGATAAGCATTCACTTTCCCACCTGCTTCAACTTGACAACCCTCCAGACTGTTGCCAAACACAAACAATGTGTGTGCTTGTATTATCATTTTCATACTGAGACTAGTTTGTCCAACTTCTCACCTCCTAATGAGATGTTACTTTAATTAGGAACAAAATATTGCTCTCACACTCTTGGACTTTCTTTCTGGGCTACAGGGAACCTCTTCTCTCATAGCAAGCTGATATTATTATGCCAAGCTGGGAGGCTGTGTGTCTGTTTGCAGCAGCCTTATTACTGCTGGCAATGCTAGCATTGCTACCCAAGGGCTGCCCATTAAGAGCTCAATTTAGCCCTGTGGTGACACCAAACCGAGAAGACTATATTATACGTACCCTTAGTGGCAACCTGAATGTAGAAATAGTGCATGATTAGGAGACACTGTCCTTTTCAGTTAAGGCAAAAAGAAAGCTCATGTTTATTAATATGTTTTAAAATTTTGTCTTGTATTTGTCATCATTATGCAGCATTGGTAAATGTTGATTTGTTGGCAGTGTTGTTCCTAATGGTGCTGTTGAGGACTATAAAGACCTGTCAGTGTAGTGCTTTATTGAACTTTATAATAACTGATTTTTTTTTGACAGAATGTATTATTTTAAACTGAAACACATATTGTAATAGCAGATGTACTGTTGCTTCAGTTAAAGGAGCTAGTCCTGATATACATATACACACCATTGACTTTGGTACGGAAGACTGGGGGTTCAAACCCCAGTCAGGGCGCAGTCAATATCCAGCCTGGGTCCTTAGGCAAGGCCCTTAATGCTACCTGCCTACCTCATGGGTAATGAGAGTTGGAAAAATAAGAGTCACACTGGCTCGGACATCACCCGGGTCAACAAGGTCCACGTCAGGTGTTGAGGAACCAGGGCAACCTGATGAGAAGTGGGCTAGCAAGCCCCCAAACCATTACATTGTACTATATAATAGCAAAGTGCATGTGGTAGAGCAGTTTTGTAATGCAGCATTCATCAATCTCTGCCAAGCTCAGCTAAGCCTGCATTTCACACAGTACCACTTAATCCTTCCAGTCACTCTCCAAAGGCTACAAAGGCTTATACAATAGATTAGGGAAACCTGTCCCAAGAAAAACAGAATTGTAAAGTTTTGTATGTAGTAACTTTCCTGGTGTAAAACCTTAATCACAGCAAAGCAAGACAGAAATGAAATGTTGGAGGGGTACTGATTTCTGAGTTAATAACAGTACAACATGCACTTCTCTAGGGAAAGTGAAAACACAAACAGACTACTGTATGCCTAAATGAGTTACTGGTGTTGAAATGAACGGAAATAGAAACATTTCTAGCACTACACTTCTCACTTGCCACCTTGTATACATTGTATACTTTGAATATCTGGCAGTGAAATGCAGACCTTTTAAAATGTTGAGAGAGATTTGCTCAATCCTGATTGTAGCTGCCTATATACTGCCACGAGCTAATGCTAAGCTAGCGCTGGAGGAGCTGTACTGCCTGATCAGCAAGCAGATGAACGCAAACCCAGAAGCGGCTGTGATTGTGGCTGGACACTTTAACCGTATGGAACTTAAAGCAGTGTTTCCCAAATTCTACAGATTCATCCATTTTCCAACCAGGGACAATAATATCCTGGATCAAGTTTATTGCAGCATCCTGGGAGCATACAAGGCCATAGCTGCTCCACACTTGGGCATGTCAGATCACATCTTTGTGGAGCTGATCCCAGCATATAAACCTCTGATCTGCAGGAGAAATCCAATCACCAAAACAGTTAAGGTGTGGACAGAGGAGGCTTCTTCAGCTTTACAGGACTGTTTTGAGCATACTGACTTGGGGTGTTCAAAGAGGGGTCAGACTTGGAGGCTTATACATCAACTGTTCTGGACTATGTGCAGTTCTGTACTGATGCTGTCGTACCTACAAAGTCCATCAGGGTTTTTCCAAACCATAAACCATGGTTGGACAATACAGTGCCACCTCTGCTCAAAGTTCGGGATGCTGCATTCAGATCAGGTGACAGGCTGGACTATAGCAGGCCCCCGAAAGAACGCAAGAAGGTCATGCAGCTGGCCAAACACAGGTACAAACAGCATAATGAGGGGCACTTTATGAATAACAACACAGAGTATGTGAAGAGGCATCAAAACAATAACAGACTAGGCAACAACCAGCAGGTCAGCCATGATCCCACCCTCCCTGAATAGTTTCTTTGCATGCTTCGATCCACCAGAGGAACTGTACAACTCCCTCAGCTCGAGGAACAGCACCAGCCTCTCATCCTGCAGCTACACCAGGTGAGCTCCACCCTGAGGAAGATCAACACCAACAAAGCCGCAGAACCAGACAGGGTGTCAGGTCAGGTTATGAAGCCATGTGCTGACCAACTGGCAGGAGTTTTCTTGGACATTTCTAACCTGTCCCTGCATCTTGCTTCAGTCCCTGTGTGCCTCAAGTCCTCCATCATTGTGCCTGTGCCCAAGAAATCAGCTGTCACCTGCCTCAGTGATTACCACCTTGTTGTTCTGACACCAGTAATTATGAAGCGCTTTCAGAGGATCATTCTAAAGCATATCAAGGACGTCATCCCTGTTGGTCTGGACAGCCATCAGTTCACCTACAGGGAGAATCAATCAACAGAGGATGCTGTCTCAATAGCATTACACACTGCCCTGTCCCACCTGGAGCATCCTAACACTTATGTCAGGATGCTATTTGTTGACTTCAGTTCAGCATTTAACACTGTAATCTCAGACAAACGGGCACTGAAACTGCACAATTTGGGAATGCCTGCAATGAGGTGTCATTGGATTAAAGACTTCTTTACTAACAGGCCTCAATTGGTGACAATCGGAAGCTGCACATCATCTACACTGATCCTGAACACAGGTGCACCACAGCACAGGGCTGTGTGCTCAGCCCAGTTCTCTTCACTCTGTTTACCCATGACTGTGATGCCATTCACGCCACAAACACAGTAGTGACGTTTGCAGACGACACCACCATAGTGGGTCTCAGACAATGATGAGACTCACTACAGAGAGGAGATCCAGCACCTGACAAGGTGGTGTTCAGATAACAATCTTGTCCTGAACACCAACAAAACTAAGGAAATCATTGTGGATTATAGGAGGTACAGGAAGACAAAATATGCTCCTCTTCTCATACACGGGGAGGTGGCAGAGCAAGTGGATAACATCAAGTTCCTGGGCATCCACATCACATCTGACCTGACCTGGTCTCTGAACACATCCTACCTGGTGAAGGAAGCCCAGCAATGGCTTTTCTTCCTCAGGAAGCTGAAACGTGCTGGTCTCTCCTCTCAGCTGCTCACAAACTTCTACAGAGCGACAGTAGAGAGCATCCTCTGTCTCAGTGCAACAGTGTGGTACGGGAGCTGCACTGCACAGGACAGAAAGGACTTGACCTGGGTGGTGAGAGCAGTTCAGGGCATTGTAGGGAGTCCTCTTCTGGATATGGACTCACTGTACACTGACCGGATCCAGAGGAGGGCCGAACAGATTGCTGCAGACCCTACCCCCCAAAGCAACAGTCTATTTGTGCCTCTTCCCTCCAGGAAAAGGTACAGGATATAAAGACTAAAACAAACAGATTGAGACAGAGCTTCTTCCCCAGGGCTGTGAAATCAATCACCCCCCTAACCCCTGCTGACCTGATTAGGTCCCATACATCCCTTTTTATTTGTTCATGTTTTTATATTGACTTATACGTTGTGAGCTGTCGTTTGTGTTAAAGCTGTGTGGTGCCGGCTGAAACCGCTTTAGAAGAGTAGCCAGCGTTGTGGGGCGGCTGTGGCTCAGGAGGGAGAGGGGGTCATTTGCTAGCCGGAGGATTAGCGGTTCTTTTCCCGGCTTGTCCAGTCAACATGTCGAAGTGTCCTTGAGCAAGACACTGAATCCCCAGTTGCTCCCGGGGATAACACTGGTGTGTGAATGTGTGAGCGTTTGGGAGTGCGATTGGGTGAATGGCCAAATAGTGTGAAGCACTTTGAGTGTGCTGTAAAGCATAGAAAGGCGCTATACAAATATAAGACCCTTTATACAATTTTGTTTTATGTAAATAATGTATTTTAAGGTGAGAGCTGCCGGAAAAAATTTCGTTATACTATGCATCTTCTTCTTTTTCTTCATTCAGCTGTTCCCGTTAGGGTTTGCCACAGCAAATCATTCATTTTCACCTAACTCTATCCTCGGCATCCTCTACTCTCACACCAATTAACTTCATGTCCTCTTTCAGCACATCCATATATCTCCTCTTTGGCCTTCCTCTTGACCTCTGGCCTGGCAGCTCCATTTCCAACATCCTTCTACCAATATAACCACTATCTCTCCTCCACCACATATGTTCATAATGCAAATAATGCCCATAGCTTTCAGAAATCCTCTTAAAATGCCACCTAAGATTAACTTAACAGCATCTAAAAATCTTGTTTTTACTTTTTGCCGGTGGCTGAGGTTGTGTTAAATATACTCTGGGTGAGTTCACTCCACCCTGACGTTATAGTGGTGTAGTTACAGGTGCAGTAGATATCTTACTGCACCCAACAGTGAAGTGCGGCGTAGTCAGTAGTTAAATGTATTCAAGGTTTTGAATAATTTGAAACTGGCCTTGTTGAGATCCATACTTACTTGGGCCAGCAGTGTTCTTCTCCCTTGGATTTTCCTGATTGTACTGAAATCTCTAGAAGTAATGTGTATTCTGTCACCCCTGGGCTTGTGTGCATGCATGCTACTTAGCCACAAGATACAAGAATAAACACAGCACCACTAGTGATCAAAAGCTCTTCTTTTAAATTCCAACCACAAATAGTCAACAGTACTTTCAGCTTGGTGAGAAGTTGCAGTTTAAGACAGGAACATAAATTTACAGATGACTGAACATTGCTCTGCTTTTTCAACTCACTAATTTTAAATGACATGATGAGAAAAGCCGAACTGGTTTCATAATAATAGCTTCATAGTTTGTTCTCTTGCAGCCTGTGCGTATTTGTTTTGACTCAGTGTCATGTCCATGTGTTGTTTGGCAGCTAAAGACAAGGGAGAGAAGAAACTTTTTGGCTACTCCTTTGTTCCTTTGATGCAGGAGGATGGCAGGACTCTGCCAGATGGCAACCATGAGCTCATTATTCACAAGGTGAGGTCTGCATACCCTCACTTTCAAGACTTGTGCTTTGCAGGGCCCATGTACAATGCTTTGACAAAGTACTGCAGAAATATTTATCCAGATATGTGATTTCATCCAAGACTGACTTATTTTAAAACAGTTTTTAACAAATTAGTAGGATAAGATAATGTTAATGTTTTTGATGTCTGTAACATGGCAGTGACCTGACTTTATGAAAGTTCAAGCAGTTTTTCCTTTGTCATTGTGCCTTTCTGTCCACTTAAGTCCTTGTATGACTCCTTTGATGTGATATTTAATGGCCAAAGTAAAAATTGAAAACAAAAGACTTCCACAGATCAGAGAGAGCAGAGCTCCATAATCAGTAGTGAGGTTCTCCTAAGTGAACCCATTCACTGTTTGCATCACCCAGGCACTGCAGAGCCTACTTTGGTTGGGATTATACACTGTATATGATTATATGAATCATCTGCACTAAATGGCAGAAATTCTGTTATCACACAGTTTGGTGCCAATTGCTGACAAACAGCTCCATTACAGAAATAGTGACGTGACGTTCAGTAATGGCCACTTATGTAACACTGTCAAGCTTTGAGGTTGATTTTAGCTACAAGTGAGTTTGTTTGTACATGTCTAAGAGGGAGCCTGTACTCATGCATGCACATTTCCTTTGAAGCAAGCTGATGGGTGTTGTTGTAGCCTAATCCACAGCCTGTGCTTTGTATGACCTTTATGTCTGTTTTCTGCATTTTACAGATCTAAAGAGACTGACAGTCATCTTCTCACACATTTTGGATCTAACACATAAAAAAACTGAAGCAAATAAAATGGTCAGCACCTCTAGTTAAAAGTGTCTGCAAAACCATCTTGGGTGCAATTCAGAAAAAATTGCTATAGTACATGCTTTTCCTCAGCTGCAAGAGGAGGGTGCATACATAAATCTCAGGCTTCACAGAAGAAAGAAAAGCAAGGAGTAAATTCACAGTGAGAAATATCTGATTATTTGTCACCACTGTTAGCTATAGTTTATTTTAGCTGTCTTTAAAAGTGAAGATTCCTCTTTTCTCTGTGATATTTTCTCTTGTGTTGCCAGATTTACAGTTGTTTTTAAAGTGCTATATAAATAAATTTTGATTGATTGATTGATTGATTTTGACATGCACTTAGGCTGACGACATTAAAAGTGATTTTTTTTTTATCACTCCACAGATGTCATATTAACAAACTCTCCTTTTGGCAAGTCAGTTAGGATGTACTTTATGCATGACACAAGTCATTTTTCCAAAACTGTTAACACATTATTTCACTTATAATTCAATATATAACAGTTCTAGTGGGTCACATATTCTCAGTTGACTGTCCCTTTAAACAGCTTGGAAAATTCCAAAAAATGATGTCATGGCTTTAAAAACCTCTTATAGGCTAATTGACATCATTTGAGTCAGTAGGAGGTGCACCTGCGGATGTATATTAAGGCCTACCTTCAAACTCAGTACCTCTTTGTTTGAAATCATGGGAAAATCAAAGGAAATCAACTAAGAGCTCAGAAAAAAATATTTTGGACCTCCACAAGTCTGGTTCGTCCCTGGGAGCTATTTACAAATGCCTGAAGGTATCACATTCATCTGTGCAAACAATACTAGGCAAGTATAAACACCATGGGACAACGCAGCCATCATACCACTCAGGAAGGAGACGCGTTCTGTCTCCTAGACTTTCTATGACTTTCTAATGACTTTCTTTCTAACAGGGAGGCCGCAGAATGTTCACCTCTAGGAGGCCTCCTAGAGGTGAACATTCTTTGGTCTGAAAAACAAATCAATCCCAGAACAACAGCAAATGACCTTGTGAAGACACTGGAGGAAACAGGTACCAAAGTATCTATATCCACAGTAAAATGAGTCCTATACTGACATAACCTGAAAGGCTGCTTAGCAAAGAAGAAGACACTGCTTCAAGAACGCCAAAGAAAGACTATGGTTTGGAGCTGCACATGGGGACAAAGATCTTACATTTTGGAGAAATGTCCTCTGGTCTGATGAAACAAAAATTGAACTGTTTGATCATAATGACTATTATGTCTGGAGGAAAAACAGGGAGGCTTGCAAGCTGAAGAACACCATCACAACTGTGATGTTATATATATTGCAGCAACATCTTAAGACATCAGCCAGGAAGTTAAAGCTTCATCACTAATGGGTCTTCCAAATGGATAATGACCCCAAGCATACTTCCAAAACTGTGGCAAAATGGCTTAAGGACAACAAAGTCAGGGTATTGGAGTGGCCATCACAAAACCCTGACCTCAATGCAGTAGAAATTATGTAGGCAGAACTGAAAAAGTGTGAGTGAGCAAGCAGGCCCAATAACCTGACTCAGTTCCACCAGTTCTGCTGGAAGGATTGGACTAAAATTCCAGCACTTTATTGTAAGGTTTGTGGAAAGTATCTCAAAATGTTTGGCCCAAGTTAAACAATTTAAAGGCAGTGCTACCAAATACTACCTGAGTATATGTAAACTTCTGACCCACTGGGAATGTGATGAAAGAAATTAATAGGTGAAATAAATCATTTTCTCTACTATTATTCTGACATTTCACATTCTCAAGATAAAGTAGTGATCCTAACTGACCTACAATGGGGATGTTTACAGGATTAAATGTGAGGAGTTGTGAAAAACTGAGTTTAAATGGATTTGGCTAAAGTGTATGTAAACCTCTGATTTCAACTGTAACCCAACCAAACTGCTTTTGTATGTGCACAAGCTTTAGAGGACAACTCTGGTATCCTGGTGTGTTCCCACTTTTGAGAGATGGGAAAGGCCCATTCTAATGCCAGATGGAAGTTGCTAAGATCTCAATGAAACCGGCATGGCCTAGTTTCTTCTCAGTCCCAAAATAGACATAGAAGAATCAGTCCAAACTGTGTGGTAGCTTTGGAGCTCAGACAGTCTCAGATGTGCACACATTAAATCCCCCAAAATAGCAAACTGTCATCATTCACTTCTGTTATATTATTTCAAGTTATTTGCCTCAGAACCTTTAAATAAGGTTATAATCCTGTTATGGGAGCACTAAATGTATGCTTTACTTTCTCTTTTTCCCTCTAGTGTGAGGAGAATACCAGCTTGGCAGATTGTTCACGCTACCTGAAGCTACCATTCTCCAAGAACAACCTCCCATCCAACAACCAGACATTGAAAGGCACCAAGGAGTCTTTCTGGATCACCAGCTTTCTCTGCTCCACAAAGCTCACGCAAAATGGTAAATTAGACTCAGGGACTGACATTTTGCTCACTTGCCTGGTGAGCTGCTTGTGGCTGTTGTCAAATTTGAAACGGGTTAGCATGTACATTGTTGCACTGTCTGGCCTTTATACGCGTGTGCAGTTCAGCAAGTAGAGTGTAGAACTAGTATTCCCAGAGATAATGATCAACACTTGAAAAAACGAAATGGTAAAATGCCACTTGTTATAGTGAGAAAGCATGAGTGAGACAGGTTCTGTGCAAGTGAGAAAGTGGTATTTCCCCCCAAGCCATCCATGTGTGTGAATAAAAACCTGTGAATATGCAGGGTGGTAGGAATAGCTTCCAGTCCACAGAGCCCAGTAATAAACTAATAAATCCATATGCCTTCAGAAATCTGCTTGCAGAGTGAGATTTGCAGTCTTATTTTAGCAGGACTAGCTGGCCTTATTCATGGTGAAAAAAAATCTTTAGCCACCGATGAACATCAATTGAAATACACTGAGCAGAAATGACTCCACTGAGACACTTGTGTATTACAAACTTTATCAGACTCTGGCACTATTTTACCAGACAGTATTTTCAGAATTTAAAAAACTGACTGATACAGTAAAAAAAAAACTGTATTAATTCTCTAGTAGAATATATAAAGATAAAAGCTACATGTACAGGTCACTTGCAAGAGGCTTTTAATTCCTTGAATACATTTGATTTTGCTGGTGAATTGAATAAAGAAATGCTGCAGAGCTTATTGAAAAATAAAGTATTTGACTGATTGGTACAAACAATAGCAGACATGCACATACACAAAGACACACACACAGATGTAAATTCATACATAATGTTGCAAGAAGACACACTTCTGGTTGAACAGAATCCAAAGAGACAGCTAAAAGACTTTCTTCTGGAGGCTTATGTTTTATTCATGCGTATGTTTGGGGACTCTGGCTCAGGAAAATGACTTTTTATCTCCTTTATCCCACTGCACTTGAAAATGTCATAATCTGTTTGGATTCAGTGGAGGTTTTGGGTGTGGGGATGCTTTGTGATCTGAGATGCATATGGCTTTTCTGTGGTTACCTGGTCCTGCTTTTTAAACAAACAAACAAGGTATGTCTTTATCTCTTCTGCTTGTCACTTCCTTTCTTGTATCTCCTTTATTTCCTAATGCATCTCTCTATATCTCCCTCTCTTTGTCTTTATCCAGGTGATATGCTGGACCTGTTGAAGTGGCGAGCCCACCCTGAAAGGATCAGTGACAGCCTCTCTAAGCTGAAGGATATCGATGGCTCAGAGATTGTCAAAGTAAGCCCAGAATCAAACTCACAGGCCTGAATTGTTCCTGCTATTTGGCATTCATAATATTTATTGTTTCTTTATTGATTTGAATCCAAGTGTTTCTAAATTCAAGTTGCGTGAGTGAGGAAAACTAAAAAGTCAAGTTTATGTGATGCTCTAGCTGTTTGCCCAAACTCCCTTTTGTTCTGTGCCCTTTCCAGTTTCTGCAGGACACTCTGGACACTCTTTTTGGAATTCTGGATGAAAGCTCTCAGAAATACGGGCTGAAAGTGTTTGACTCACTGGTGAGTAGTCTGTTCTGAGGCTCTGGTCATTTCTGTGGATCTTTTTTATTTTTTGTTTCTCATTGTTCTTGTATGTCAGACACAGTCTCATAGTGTTTGAGCCAAATATAGGAAACCTATAGATAAACTAACTGTTGATGAAAGATCTAGTGATGTAACGCTTCAGCGCGTGCTGAAACAATCTCACCCTGGTCATGCTGCACTGATACAGGGAGGCCAATGATCAATCTCTATCTCTCTCTGCGTCTCTCTCTCTCTTTATCATTCTCACACTGACATACACTCTCTCCTCTCAGTGTGGCATTATCAGTGATGAAAAGGTCTAGCGGAGTGGTATAACCATCAGGTTCCCTTTTTGTAGTTTTAAGGTCAATCCAACAAGTCTGACAAATGGACTTGCGTATCTTCTGTGGTTTGGACAAATTCAGTGCATTTCACAGCAACTTGTACATAAGGGAAGCATGGAGTAATACAGTGTCAAAATGGTTTTAGCTTGTTATAATATATTTATAGATGATGTGCACATTTGTCTCAATCTTAAATATTTCAATTTCCTGGAATAGTGGGCCTTAAAAACCTTGAGTTTTTAGTTTGAATATTTGACCGAGGATGACTGTATGTTTATTAGTACATAAGCTAATCATGAAGGAACACTTTTTAATAAAGAGTTTCTCTGTTTTTCTCCAGGTCCATATTATCAACCTCCTACAGGACAGCAAATTTCAGCACTTCAAACCAGTCATGGACACCTATATCGAGAGTCACTTTGCCGGAGCTCTGTCCTATAGGTATATGGTGTTTCAGCCTTCACTTCACACGTGTAGCTGTTCAAGGCTTCAGCAGCACCTTGAGCATACAATACCTCAGTCTTACCTGCATTTTGTATTTTAATGAAGTATCACACGGGCAGGTAGTATAAGAGACCAATCTATGTCAGTGCTGAGAGGTAGCTCTGCTGTGTGCTTTGATTTAGTCACAACACATGTGAATAAAATGGTTATAGTGCCCCCTGGCTGATATGAAGTGAATTATGAAATTGTGGCTTTTTCTTCCTTCTTGTTTTTCTTCCTGTCTTTTACAGGTGTGCAGGCGCATATTCAGAGCCTGCTGTTCTCACCAGCTTCACACTTTCTATAAATGCTAATATACTGTGGTGGGGCTGTGTTCTTTTGTTTTGTGTATGTTTTCACGCACACACCCACAGAATGCTGCTGCCACATCCATCTCCTTTAAACTCTCACCACACCTTGACTCCTATTGTTATTTTACTTCTTATAACTATCATAAGTTCTCATCTCATCAATGTCCCAGACAGTCTACATAGTCTCATTTGGCCACTTGTTAGCAACTGGTGTTTTTAAGACACAGGAAAGCTTTAAAAAGGTCACAAGGGGTCTCATCTCATCTCATCTCATTTTCTATACCGCTTGGTCCCGAATAGCGTCATGGGGGCGCTGGAGCCAATCCCAGCCGGCATCAGGCGAAAGGCGGGGTACACCCTGGACAGGACGCCGGTCCATCGCAGGGCCAACACCCACACACACACTTACTCCTACGGGAAATTTAGAGTCACCGATCAACCTCAGCCGCATGTCTTTGTAGAGCGGGAGGAAGCCGGAGCACCCAGAGAGAACCCACGCATGCACAGGGAGAACATGCAAACTCTGCACAGAAATGTTGCGAACCCAGGATCTTCTCCCTGTGAGGCAATGGCGTATCCACTGTGCCACCGTGCTGCCCCTATCATAAGTTATTAATAGGAAACCAAAATGTCCTCCAGTCCTGATTAGGATTAGAAAATCCTGACATTCAGTAGTCACTGAATCCTTTCTCTGTCACCAGCTTACAGCTGCATAGAGGAGGCCTCTCTTGAAATTTCAGATGAGATTTTTATTCCAAACTTCACTTATTTAAAAATGCACCAGTGGACTTTTCTGGATTTAATGGTCATCCAAAGATCATCACTACCGACTATAATATTTAAATCCACTATATTTATAAAATGCTAGCAAATAAACTGCAGATTTTTTTAAGAAACAGATTTTAATATTGTGTGATTCATTGGGTTTCATTTATTAAAATGCTGCATTGCCTCTTCTATATTTGCCTAATCCACTGTGCAATGTAGCTAGAGGTGAATGGTTATTGTGTGTGTCTGTGTCTTCTCTAGGGACCTGATCAAAGTGCTGAAGTGGTACGTGGACCGCATTATTGAGGCAGAGCACCAGGATCACATACAGCAGGTGCTCAAGGTGAGTGGTTTGGTATCGCACACATGCACACACAGAGATGTTTTATGTCTGACTGTACATTCCAACATGCAGCTGTTATATACACACGCAATACACACATACCATAAACACTATCAGAATCAGAATCAGCTTTATTGGCCAGGTGTGTCGGACACACGAGAAATTTGACTCTGGTACATTGGCTCTCGATGTGTATGTACATATCCCAATGCAAGGGGCAAGTAAACAGTAAACCTGCATAAGGCTGTGTAATATAACAAAATAAGCAGTATTAACAGGCAGTAAACAATGCAGACAGACAAAGGAATACTCATTGTGAAATGGGATAAGTAGGAATAAAAATAGAGTACTTAAAACTAGTATGAATCTGTACGATGTACAGGTGCTGGTCATATAATTAGAATATCATCAAAAAGTTGATTTATTTCACTAATTCCATTCAAAAAGTGAAACTTGTATATTATATTCATTCATTACACACAGACTGATATATTTCAAATGTTTATTTCTTTTAATTGTGATGATTATAACTGACAACCAATGAAAACCCCAAATTCGGTATCTCAGAAAATTAGAATATTACTGAATACCAATACAAAGAAAGGACCTCAGGGGAAGAAACTGTCCCTGTGCCTAGTTGTCTTGGTACACAGTGACCTGTAACGCCGTCCACAAACAGATTGTGTCCAGGGTGGGAGGGGTCAGCAGTGATCCTCTCCTCCCTCCTTTTAACCCATGAGGTGTACAGGTCCTTCCTCCATGGAGGGCAGGTTTGCACCACTGACCTTTTCTGCAGTCCTGACTGTCCACTGAAGTCTGTACTTGTCCTGTTTGGTTGCTGAGCAAAACCAGACAGTGATGGAGGTGCAGAGAACAGACTCGATGATTCCTCTGCCGAACTGTATCAGCAGCTCCTGGGGCAGGTCGAACTTCCTGAGCTGGAGCGGGAAGTACATCCTCTGCTGTGCCTTTTTGATGATGGTCCTGATGTTGGATGTCCACTTCAGGTCCAGGGAGATAGTGGAGCCCAGGAACTTGTAGGACTTTACTGCTGATACAGTGCTGCCAAGTGTAGGGGTAAGGTGGGGGGGTTCTTCCTGAAGTCCACTGTCATCTCCACTGTTTTGAGTGTGTTCAGCTCCAGGTTGTTGCGGCTACACCACAAAACTAGCTGCTCAACCTCCCATCTGTAGGCTGACTCGTCGCCATCTCGGATGAGACCAATGATTGTTGTATCATCAGCAAACTTTAGGAGCTTGACAGAGGGGTCCTTCGAGATACAGTCGTTGGTGTATAGTGAAAACAGCAGAGGGGAGAGCACACATCCCT